GAGACAGCACGGGGGAGAGAGGTGTGAAGAGGAGGAGGAGGAGGAGGAGGAGGCAGCGGCTCACCCTGGCTGCACAGAGAGTCCCTGACGGTGCAGAAATTGCACGAAATAAAAATAAAATAAAACGTAAAGCTCAAGGGTGATCCTGCTTCCCCACCAGCAGCAGGTCCAGCAGGGAGGAGGGACTATGGTGAGGTGGGGGGCTGCACCCCGCTGCGGCGAGGCAGAGACCTCCGGCGCTGGCAGCACAGAGCTCCCGGCTCGGTGAAGGTGGTGCAGAGCACCTGGCCAGGGGGCTGCGGGGCTGGGGCAGCGGGGAGGACTGTGACCACCTGGCGCGCGGGAAGCCTCCGTGCCACAGATGTGCCAGCGCTGAACCGCGGTGGAGAGCCAGAGCCAGGCTGGGAAAAACGCCCTTTTCTGCCACACCGGGCAGGGGCGGCTGCAGGCAGGGACCGGCACATGGCATGGCCCTGGCTCCCGGTGACAGCAACGTCCTGGTTGCTGCCGAATATTGGGGAAGCTGAGCCAGGGCTCTCTCCTGCAGACTAACCCCTGCACCCTGGCATTGTCCCTTGTGCGATGGTCTGGGCCAGCTGTAGGCGTCCCCACGGGGGGAACGTGTCACTTCACCACAGCCTGGCCCTCACCCCACGCTGGCAGCGGTGCCAACAGCACTGCCCGGCCCCGGCTGGGATGCTCCATGTGCGTAACAATGAGACGGAGCAGCAGAAATGCATTTTCCAAACCCAGGGATGTTTTTTCCCCAAACACGTCGCTCTGCACAGGGCTGTCTCGGCATCAGTTGCCAGCCAGGCTCGGCCCTGGTGGTTGTGGGTTGCTGGCCGGTGCCACGCCACCCAGGAGCTTCCCTGTGGCTCTGGTACCCTCAGATGAGAAGCAAAGCCCCACGTGGGTGCCTGCACAGGGACCCCCCTGCACTGCCCCATCCCCCTGCCGCTTCCTTTGCCGCTGCTGTGTGGAAATGCAGGTACTTTGATGTGTATCATTAAACAAATTAAAGCCTGGAAAGTCCCACGTCTCCATCTCATTGGGTGTGTGGAGCAGGGCTGGGACAGCTGTCCCGCCAGTGCTCTGACCCAACTAGGGTCTCTTGGAGAGCAAATCCAAACACGGGAACACGTATGTAGCAAAAAAAAAAAACCAACAAGTTACGTGTTTGTGGTTCACAATGTGCCATCGAGCTGGGAACCACATTTGAGTGAAGACTCGGCACTGCATGGTGGTAGGGGCTGCTGTGCTCGGGCTGGGGGCCTGGGGAACAGGCACAGCCGCTGCTTGGGCGCATCGAGACCACCCCGTGCTGGAGACGTTGCTGCTTGGCCACTGGCATGACCAGCCCCACATGCGAGTGATGGGCGCCGGCTCCACGGCTCCTTCCTCTCCAACACACCTGGGGAGGGGGGTGGTGGTGTCTCTCACAAGCAAGCGTTTGTTCCTTGTGCCAGTCACAGCGACGTTTGCTCCTGTCTCCCGCTCGTGTTTCCGTGCTCTCCAGGCTGCCCAAGGCCCCGTGTCACTGGTGGGATGGTGGTGGAGGGAGACCCTGGCTCAGCCTCCTCAGTGAGCCCCTCACAGGCACCCTTCCCAGCTCGGTGGCTCTCACTGCTGCGGGACACAGCCAGATCCTGCACTGGGGATTGGCAGAGCCTGTGCTGCACCTCCACTGTCCCAAGGGAGGGACATAACTGGGGTGAGTAGTGGCCAGGAGCAGGGAAAGCCACTGGGCACCACTCGACTGCCTCGGGCCGAGCATGCTGACTGGTGGCCCCTGAGCACCCAGGAAATCCTCCTGGTACCTGGCAGCATGGGAGCACCACTCTCGTCACCAGCGGTTCAAGAATAATGTGCCAGAGTGGGTTCCTGGTGTGGAGGATTCCTGCCCCTGTATCAGGGAGTGTAGGGATAGGACAAGGGGGAATGGTTTTAAACTGAAAAAGGGGAGATTTGGGTTAGATAGAAGGAAGAAATTCTTCCCTGTGAGGGTGGTGAAGCCCTGGCACAGGCTGCCCAGAGCAGCTGTGGCTGCCCCCTCCCTGGAAGGGTTCAAGGCCAGGTTGGACTGGGCTTTGGGCAACCTGGGCTAGTGGAAGGTGTGGCAGGAGGGTTGGAACTGGATGATCTTTAAGGTCCCTCCCAACGTGAACCATCCTGTGATTCTGTTATTCTATACACCAAGCACAATGCTGCACAACCCCAGATGTTCCAGCGGCTGGTTTGGGTCAGAAGCTCTGGCTCTGCTCCCTCCCAGCTCCCTGTGCACCTGCACATGGGCAGAGCACGGGGAGTGGGAGAGTCCTTGATTTCTCAGCAACAGCCAAAAACATCAGTGCATTAGCAACATTCTTATACCAAACCCCTCACTGAATCCCAAACACAGCATGGTTCGAGCTACTGTGGGGAAAAGTAGCTCCATCCCAGGTGAAACCAGGACAACACATCAGGGGCAGCCCCGCGTCCTGGGGTCCCTCAAGCCCCTAGGATCTCTGGGACCATGTGGCCCTTGGCCCTCGACGTCGACCTTGGGATCCCTTAGTCCCTGGATCCCTTAGGCTCTGAGGTCCCTGGGTCCCCTTGTCCCCTTGTCCTGGGTCCCCTTGTCCCTGGGTCCCCTTGTCCCTGTGTCCTCAGTCCCAATGTCCCTGACGCCCCATGTCCCAGCGTCCCCACATCCCAGGTCCCGATGTCCCTGACACCCATGTGTCCTGGGTCCCAATGTCCTCGGGTCCCTGTGTCCTCAGTCCCAGCGTTCCCATGTCCTGATGTCCCCGTGCCCTGGCCCTGCTGTTCCCCATGACAAAACTGAATTTTGCTGCTCTGCTCTGGGAGCTCCATGGCCAGTTCTGCCCCACCAGGCCCAGCCATCAGGTACCGAAGTTTTTGGGTACCAGAACCAAGCTGGCAGGGGGGGAGAGCGGGCTGGGGCAAGTACTGGGGGCCGGGGAGGGCACCAGCATGTCCTGGCACCTTCGAGGTCCCAGCAAGCCACGAAGGTTGGGGGGGGAGGGGGGGGGGAGGCTGCAGAGACGTGGGTCACACCTGCATGGATGGGAAGCAGGAAACATCCCCTGGCAGCACAAGTCACAAACATCTGGGTCCCCAAGGAGGTTTCAGGGGAAAACCCCATGGTCATAGGACAGGACACCTGCCCCACCAGCGGGACAGCCTCACCGGCATCCCACACATGGGCAGGGCCTCGCTTTCTCCTTCCCATCCCCTCCGTTTCCATAACGGGCTGAAACTTGGCTTCTTCTCCATTTCAGTTTTGCTTTTACTGCACCTGACCAGGGCACCCACATCCTGCCAGGCTGCTGGAAGCCCCTGGGAGGCTGGGGGTGGCCCAGGACATGTGGGACCCCATGAACAGAGTGTGGCATCCAGGGCCCCAGTGGTGCCTGAGGCTGAGGACATCATCTCAGCAGTGGGAAATGGGTCCCTTGGGGAGAGGTCAGCCCGTGAGCCACCTGCCACAGACACCTGCAGAGCCACCTGGGCCCCACAGCACCACCGCTCACCCCCAGCACCCCCCTTCCCCTGGGGAATTCATGCCGGGGACATGCAGGACCCCCCATTTCCGTGGGGAACTCAGCCAGAGCCGCTCTCGGGGGGACAGCCCCGTGGGAGCACTGTCACAGGTCGCTGTTTCCACCTGTCCCGCTTTCTACTGACCCAAGCACCCAGGAGCAGTGTGTCCCCCATCCCCTCCCAGCTCTGCAGGCACCAAGCATCACTCCCTTGGGGCACCATCCCGGAGCAGCCCATCCCTTGGGCTCAGAGGGCAGCGGGAGGACTCCAGCCTTGGCATTGGCTCCAGCACAAAGGTACCCGGCTGGAGGGGCAGGGGAGGGAGATGTGTGAGGCTTTATGCTGTCTGGAAGGATTTTTTGGGGGAGGAAGGGAGTTCAGGCGTGCCCAGGCAGCCAAAAGAGTTGTGCAGGCAGGGAGCTGTTTTCTCCCTGCACAAAGCTGGTGCGGTGTTCTGCAGGCAGAAAGACCCGGTGGGGAGAGCAGGCTGTGCACAAGAGCACATTACCAGCATCCCCAGACCCCCAGGCAGCCCCGGGGAGGGTCTCCTGGGGGGACAGCCCACACGGACGCCCCAGGGGCCTGGCACAGGCAGCACCGTGGCGCTGATGGGAGTCGTGTCTGTGCAGTGTGGCCATGGCCGTCCAGCATGTCCCCAGTCTGATGCCACCCAGGGACAGCGAGGGCTCAGAGATGGGGCTCCTCCTGGTCAAGAAGAGCAGGGCAGGGCAAATCACCACCAGCAACACCCTCCTCGGAGAAGACAAGTTCAAGTCCAAGTTTTCCACCAAGGCGGTGAGCGTGAGCTGTGTGCAAGGGCGCTGCGATGGCGAGGACATCACGGTCACTGACACTGAACTGGCCAGTGTTCTGATCCAAGAGGGATGGACAATCACTCACTGGGTCAGGCTGTCCCCCCCGCCGGTCCTGCTGCTGGTAACCACGCCGGGCTAATTCATCGAGGAGGCCACACAGAAACCACAGGACATTTTTTTAAGCTGATTTTGAGGCACACGATCACCTCACCCATGCAGAAGACCTGGCGAGGAGGCCACTGTGGAATTTCCTGTGGTGTTGCAGCAACGAGGTGCTCCAGGGCCTGATTCTGCAACATAGGAGCAGGTGCTGAGGCTTCACCAATGGAGCAGTCAGTGTTGAACGGGACCGGCAGGTGGCCAAGATTATGGGGATGGTCCACGGCATGGTGTGGGAGGATGGGGGCAAGCTCTTGAGCCACAATGTGGACCTGGAGCCCAGATTAACAGAAAAGAAAGCGGAGTATCATGTGGGGAGGTACAAAGCAGAGAGGAAAATGAGGAAGTGGTCCAGAGCTACGCCATGCAGGATCATGGCGGGCTGTGGGATAATTCTCTTTGTTCTTGCTCTGTTTTTCCTGATTTTCCTTATTTTTCCTGATTTCCATATTTTGTGGTAGTGATGAATCACATTCACAGGAACATTGAGGATGGAAGGAATCTCTGAAGATTCTCAAGTCCAAGCCCTGCTCAAGCAGGGTCCCCCAGAGCTGGTTGCCCAGGGCCACGTGCAGTTGGCTTTTGGACACCTCCAGGGACGGAGACTCCCCCACCGCTCTGGGCAGCCTGTGCCAGCACTTCAAAGCAAAACAGTTGCCTGATGTTTTAAATGGAATTTCATTTACGCCCATCCCCTCTCATCCTGGCAGCAGGCACCACTTGGTCTCCATCAGGTGAGGAAAGAATCCCCCTCAGCCTCCTCCTCTCCAGGCTCAGCTCTCCCCGCCTCTCCCCATCTGTCAGATGCTTCGATGTTGCAGTTGTCTTTGCAGGACCCACCCCAGCACATCCACGTCCCTCTGGCCCACAGAACATTCTGCTCCACAGACACGTGCCACTCTCCAGCCCAGGGAGTCTTCATGTAATTGGCAAGTATTTCTGAGGGAGATTATAAACTAAAATACTTCAAACTCACCACGCCTGGCCTGGCACCATCCCACAGTGGTGCCACACGAAACCACCGAACGCTTACTTGTCATGTGTGATGGGGACACGAGGGCGTGTTGGGAAGGAAAAGGAGAGATGATGAGGGAAAGCCCTTTGCTGCCAGGCCAGGTGTGCGCAGGCAGCTGCGGGACCTGCACTGTTCCTTAAGCCAAAGGGGTGCCTGCCCCAGGGTGTGGGGACCTGTCACGCCTCTGCTGCCACCAGTGCCCATCAGGGAGGTGCAGCTGGGGTCAGCCAGGCAGGGGATAATTTGTTTTCCTTCCCATGGCAGTGAGATGAGGGAAAACCCACGCAGGCAGCCTGGGCACTCTGCCAGGGCCTTTCCATCAATGTCTGTGGCACTGGGGTCTCTCCTTGGGGGCTTTCAGCTCTGCCCTGCAGTGCTGCTCCCAGGGGTATGGGCATGGGAGATGACAGCAAACTCTGCCCAGCTCCAGGCCAGCTCATCTGGGTTTCCTGTGCAATGCAGCAGGTGCATTACAGCAACCTCGCCAGAGCCACAGGTGCCCTGAGGATCACCAAAAGGCTCTGCAGAGCCAGGACTCCAAAGCACCAAGGGTCATGGCTGGGGCCAGCACCCGCAGCGGTTCCAGGAGCAGCACTGGGTGTGCCCAATGCCCACACTGGAGGTGCCTCCTGAGGCAGGGGAAGTCCAGCCCCGCGGCTCAGCGGGAAACCAACCCAGGGTGTGAGCCCTCTACCAAAGGTCCTGTGAACAGGGTTTTTCCATGGACACGGTGAGCTCCAGGCATTGCAGATAACAAAGCTCGGAGCAGGCAAAGGGAAGCGCAGATAACCTCAGCTTTTGCAGAAAGGGCAGCTCCCCTTCCTCACCTCCCACCCATCCTCCCTCAAAAGCCCTCACGCCCAGGCCCTCGGAGAGGGAGGATGCCCTTCCCCTGCCTGTGGCCCAGCAGGACACCACCCCACCCCCTCACAGGGCAGCCCCCACTGAGTTCTCAGGGCTGAAAATCCTTCAGCATCCGGGTGAAAAACAGTCGTATGAGGAATCAGCTACAGCTCTTGTCACAACTGGGGAATTCCATCGTAAACAGACAGAACAAACCATAGTTGAAACAAAAAACTGGGACAAGTATTGCATTTCTAAATCCTGCATGTTATGGTCAGGCAATTGGACTGCATGATTGTTCCCAATGGAACTCAATGGAACTTCCCAATGGAACTTCCCAATGGAACTTCCCAATGGAACTTCCCAATGGAACTTCCCAATGGAATTCTTCTCTTCTCTTCTCTTCTCTTCTCTTCTCTTCTCTTCTCTTCTCTTCTCTTCTCTTCTCTTCTCTTCTCTTCTCTTCTCTTCTCTTCTCTTTCTCTTCTCTTCTCTTCTCTTCTCTTCTCTTCTCTTCTCTTCTCTTCTCTTCTCTTCTCTTCTCTTCTCTTCCCTTCCCATTTTGATTTCGATTCTAATTCCCTCTCTGCAAAATAAGCACAGAATTAAAAATGGCTTAAATAACCAGAAAGTATGCGAAAGACTAATGGTGACAAGTTTAGAGGAAAACAGCAATAAAAACTCTACTGGAGTTAAAATAAAAGGAACTTCCTTCTAAAAACATTCAGGCAGGGTAGAGAACTGCTTTTTCATTCTCTTGACCTGGGTATTCGTAAGGTGCAGATAACCATGAGAAGTTCCTGTAACAACCTGCTGGGTACTACCAGTTTGTTAAACCACCACTATGGAAACACAACCAAAATTTCCATTTCTGTCGACTTTCAGTTCTCATTTGGAAAGAAATATTGGCCAAGCCTTATTATTCCTGGAAGTCATAACCAACACCCTAAAAGCAGGTATTACAACCTGTTTGTTTGTTTGTTCCCCCCCCCCCCGGAATAACAGTAGCAGAATTTAAAACACTTTACCAAAGGCACCTGTGCACGTTGTCCCAGAGTTTGAATTTTGCAGCTTCTGAATTCAGGTTTCAGGTTTTCACCTCCAGATACAAAGGCTGGAGTTTCAGCGCTGCCTGTGAGTGTGGCAGGGCACGTCAGAGAGAACCTGTGTGGGAAAAGATTTCTCTGAATTGCAAATCAGCTCCACTGAACAAACAGCCTTTTATCAGCTGCCACCACGGAGCCAGTTCTGCTCTCTAACAGCTGAAACTGCACAATAATCACAGAAATGGGCAAGAGTGGAAAAATACCACCTCCTCCCCATGGGGTGCATTTTAGCTGGGTACTTTCTTCTCCCTGCTGCTCTGTGCCCACAGCCAACACATCACCTCTGACTTCCTCCGCCCACCACAAGAGCTGGACTGCCAATTTTCCAAGCTCACCGGACTGAGGAGGCTTTTACTAGAACAAGTTTTGGCCTTAGAGTTGCCAGGTTGGGTGTCCACACACCAAAATATAAAGGTTACTCTTAGTATCCAAAGTGGCTCCACCTCCAGTAAGGCTGGCCACTCAAAACCACCCTCCTTTCCCGTGTGAAAACACTGAACCCTGAGGTCCACCTAGTGACTGCTCCCCGAAGGCAGAGCTGGCGGCACTTGTGCTATCAGGGGACCCAAGGAAGGGGCTGGGTGGGGTGCAGATGGGAAGAAGAGGGTGCAGCCATTAAACGCCATCCCCCATGGAACCAGGAACGGAGCTTGGCACTGCGGGGATGCTCAAATCTCCTGCCACCAGCACCCAGCCATGGCCCTGCTGTGACAGGGATAAAGAGCAGCCGTGCAGCAGGGGCTGCAGTGCAGACAGAGCTGGTGATAAAGCATAAGCAGAGAGCACGGGCCCATTTCCCAAAACGGGGAAAATGGGAGGTTGACTGGATCCTTTCCACTGCCTCTGTGTAATCAGTGGATGCTGCAAAACCATCCCCATACTGAGAGAGCTCTGCAACCCACATAAACTCTACCTGAAAAATAACTGGGAAACCTGATAAAGGAGGAGGAGGCGGCAGAGGAGGCAAAGAGTTCTGTGTTCATGTAGAGAGCGGCTGAGGGAACTGGGGGGGTTTAGTCTGGAGAAGAGGAGGCTGAGGGGAGACCTCCTGGCCCTCTGCAACTCCCTGACAGGAGGGTGCAGAGAGGGAGGGGGGGTGTCAGTCTCTTCTCCTGAGTAACAAGGGATAAGGCAAGAGGAAACGGCCCCAAGTAGCACCAGGGGCAGTTTAGATTGGATATCGGGAAAAATTTCTTCACCAAAAGGTGATCAATGACTGGAACAGGCCGCCCAGGGAAGCAGTGGGGTCACCATCCCGGGAGGTATTTAAAAGACATGTGGACATGACACACGGGGACACGGTTTAGCAGTGGCCCTGGCAGTGGCAGTTAAGACTTGGACTCAATCATCTTAAGGGTCTTTTCTATCCTAAATGATTTTGTAGTTCTATGAATACAGGTGCAGGGCCCCCATCAACAGGGATTTTTAAGGTGCAAGTGTCACTGTGGCACTGGTGGTGGGGCAGGGTGAGCCCCCACACCTCCCTGGCCTTGCTGGGGTGTCACCGCATGCAGGGGTTGTGCCCAGGAGCCGTGCCCGCCTTCCTGAGCGCTGGGTGTTTAACCTCCAGGCTAAAACCCCCAGTTCCCTCAGCCGCTCCCCATCAGACCTGTGCTCCAGACCCTGAACCAGCTCCGTTGCCCTTCTCTGGACACGCTCGAGTCATTCAATGGCCTTTTTGGGGTGAGGGGCACAACACTGAACCCAGTCATCGAGGGGCGGCCTCACCAGTGTCGAGCGCAGGGCTCAGATCCCTTCCCTGTCCCTGCTGGCCACGCTGGTGCTGACACAAGCCAGGATGCTATTTGTTTCCTTGGCCACATGGGCACGCTGCCAACTCATATATAGGCGGCTGCGGAGCAACTTCTCCAGGTCCTTTTCCATTGAGCAGCTTTTCAGACACTCTGCCCTAAGGTCTGTGGCGTTGCGTGGGGATGTTGTGACCCAATTGTTGTGTCCAGAGAAGGGCAACGGAGCTGGTGCAGGGTCTGTAAGCACAGGTCTGATGGGGAGAGGCTGAGGGAACCGGGGGGGGGTTCAGTCTGGAGAAGAGGAGGCTGAGGGGAGACCTCCTGGCCCTCTGCAACTCCCTG